GCTGTTACCTTCTAATGCAGCATCTTAACTCAAATAAAACCTCAGAAGTGACTGATTAAATCAAATGCTGCTCATGGTGTAGCAGCTAAACTACTAAACAAAGTATTTTTTACTTTGTAAACAATGTATTATCTGGCATCTTCAATGGAAATGAAGTTCTGTCTCATCATTGGTTGCTTTCTGTCATGTGACAAAGAAAAAGAGGAAATCAATAACTTTATAGCTTTAAGGATTCATCTATATTTAAATTAGAATTTAGTGTTTGATAACTTTATTCTATTTCTGTATATTTTCTGCTTGCTGAAGAGCACGGGTAGCTAAATATGACATTTATTATAATGGGTTTATGTGAAGATTGTTTTAGTTCACTTAAATTAAAAGTTGTTATTTTTTAAAGTCTAATAAATGTTAAAATTAGTAGCTGTCAATTATACTGTAATGTTGAATGGCAATAGTCAGTGGTTAAATATTGGAGGGAAAAAAAACAATTTCATAGAGACATCAGTAGTATTGGTATCAGTGATACTCGCCTTCAGTCATAAAAAAAGATGCCATTGAACAAATATTTACAAATATACTGGATTTATGTTGTTTCTACATTCATTTGGAGATTGAATGTGAAGTTCCCTTTCAGTCGGTCACTCTCGACGTCACGTCGGATGACCGACGAAATTGGGATCTCGCTTAGAGGGACCAATCTACTTCGAGTGTAAACTAAACGAGCCACATATTTAATATGTTACTAGATAATTAAATAATTACAATTTCTGATAAAGAATTTTTCAATGTTTATAATAAATTATATGCATGGTGCAAATAAAACATTGTTTTTTTTTAACATAATTGGGCTAAAATCCTCAATGAAATATATGCATGCATATCCTATAATTACACGCATGCATTACAAACAAAATTTATTTATTTATTTATTTATTGTGGTGAAATTAAAGTTTTGGAAGTCAAGTAACAAGGGTATTTGTGACTTTTTAGCTCATAATTTGATGTTATTTAAAATGTTATCACAAAAACCTACATTTATTTGTCATGTGCATAAACGTGGCCTCCTGTAGGTGAACAGCTCACTAGGTTTGGAAGCAGAGCAAGCAAAGTACTGTTAGTGTACAAATGAAATGCATTCGCTGGGCTTCAGGCTGCTTGCGTGGTTAATGAAGTCACAGGGCACAAAGTGAGGTTCGAGCGGATCTGATCTCACAGCCAAAGCCCACATTACCCACAGCAGCGGCAGCAGTGTTCACGGGAGACTCCTGACGCCTGCGGTGGATGACAAGATCATTAGATACTGCTTACTCGCGTCCCGCACGCGCCTGTTACTGTGCTTTCAGAGCTTGTTTTCATTGTCCTGATCGCTTGTGCTGGCTTTGTGGTGATTACAGCCCTCCAGAGGAGTTAAAGCCTCATTAGGATGCTAAAACAAAGACGAGAGTCAGGCACCTTTGAGACGCTATCTAGAGGGGACAGGCCGTCCCGCGATCATGTCTTTTCACATTCACCAGCGCTGGCTATTGCCTTTAGTAGTACTTTGACTGATCTGTTATTCTAGAGCTTCGTAGCAGTTGCACATCACCGGTTTCATGCATATACATGCATATAATTTGTTTTTTTACATAAACAATTTGAGGGTTTTTTTGCACACACACACACATATATATTAATTCTATTGTATATGTAACATTTTAATTATTTGAAATCAAACAAATAAATAAAATATATGTAGAATTTGTCTGATTTCAAATATTTAACGTATTATAATAGTTGTTTATATAAAAATAAACAAACCTATGAAATAATGCAAATATAAAAATTATAATTTTAAAATATTTAAGTGTTTTTAAACATTTAAAATGTTAAATTATTATTAAATAATAATTTTCATAATTCAATAATTTTTAATAATAAAAAAATATATAAAATATATTTTGGATATATTTTATAATACAAAATATATACAATATATTTTAGATTTTGTATGTATTGCTTGTCTGATTTCAAATAATGACATTATTATATAGGGTTGTTAAAAAAAACCTATAACAACATGCATATATAAATGTTATACATTTTAAATATTTACATATGTTAATAAATTAAATATTTATACATTTCTGATTGTATTTTTTGGCTATATTTTATATTTTAGAATATATTTTGGAAATATTTTTGGCTATATTTTATATTTTGTATGTGTAATTGATCTGATTTTAAATAATTAAAATATTACATATATAATAAAATAGTTTATATGAAAAATAAAGAAATCTAACATAAAGCATAGATAAGTATTCTACATTTTAAATATTTAAATATGTTATTAAATAATTTATATGATCCACGAGTGCAGTAACTAGCGTAATTGAGTTTAATATGAAGTGTGTTATGTGTGCTTGAGTGACGGCCCGTGGGTCTGTTTTGATGTGTGTTTTCTGAATAATGCTTTGCACGTGAAGGTGAAGTGTTGACGGCGCGGTTGTGTGGGCTGAACACAGCTGCTGTGAGGTCTGACTCACTCATTTGACAGCGTTTATTGACATTAAATATTGCACGCCGGTGACCCGCCAAGATACTGGAAGACTGTTTTGCTTTGGTGTGCATCGCATTATCATGATAACAGTGCTGGAGTAAAAGTGCAGTGCTGTTTTTGTCACATTGCGCAGCCAAGCAATAAATCTGAGACAAATAAAAGTCCTTCCTCTCTTTCATGAGAAGCGTCCAAATGAACCGATTCACAAAAATTAATCTGTTCGTTTGAGTGGATCATTCTCATGAGTCACTTCAAAAAAGACTCTGATTCATTTGACTCCCCCAGGCATTTTAGTTTTTTGTAGTGGTGTACAAAATAATTTATATTTATTACAGTAATTGTGGAAAAGAATGTAAAAAATAATATTTAGGTTAAATGCTACTGTTCATAGAAATTCTTTTGACTTTTTGTGTTTGTCAATAAATACTGTTCTGTGTGTGTACAAACATATATACATAATTTGTTTATTTTTATATAAACTATTCTAGAAATTATATTATTCTATTATATATGTAACATTGGAATGATTTGAAATCAATATATAAAATGTATGTATAATTTGTCTGATTTAAAATAATTAACATATTACATAAATACTAGTTGTTTATATACAAAAATGAACAAACCTATAACGTAATGCATATATAAATATTCGAATTTTTATATTTTAAAAAAATTGTTAATTAAATATTTAAAAAATCTCTGATTATTTTTGGGGATATATTTTCTTTTTTTATAAAATAAAATATATTTTTGGCTATATTTTGGTTATATTTTCTGGCTATATTTTATCATATACAACATATACAATATTTGTTGGCTATAATCTGGCTATATTTTTTGTCTATATTTTATAATACAAAATAAATGAAATATATTTTGTATTTATATGTCTGATTTCAAATAATTAAAATATTGGATATAATAGAATTGCTTATATAAACATAAACAAACAAACCTATAACAATGCATATATAAATATGATTTTGTACATTTTTAAATGTATTATTAAATTAAATATTAAAAAATCTCTTGTTATATTTTTTTGGTATATATATATTTTTATAATCTAACATATATGTAATGTTTAATATTTTGTATGTATAATTTGTCTGGTTTCAAATAATTAAAATATTACATACAGTATAACAGAATTGTAATATTTAAAAAATACATCTCTAACAATGCATATATACAGGTATAATTATTAAATATTTTAATATGCAATTAAATATTTAAAAGCTATATTTGATACGATTTATATTTATAAAACATGCTGTCCGTCCCAACTAGCTACAGTCTCTGAGTACTTTGAAACACAACAATGCTTAGCAGAGCTTGCACAGATAAATGTGACACCTTCACTTAACACATGACACATAATAGCCAATGCCATGAGCCATAAATGATGCCATTGTTTTGTAATTGAAATCAAGCGGGAAGGAGGATTTGTACAACATGAGTGTGGCAGTTTTCTTTTTGACTGTACTATACCTATTATCTACTGCGTTGAGTTATGAATTTAGGATTTGGTTGAAGCTGATATTTCTTGGAGATTTGAGCATGAGAGGTTGCAGATCTAGCGCAGCTCGCCTGTTGCCACGGAGATGAGGGTGCAGCGCGTTCAGCCTGGAGATGGGCTGCGTTTCAGTTGTGCATAGAAACAATAAAAGTGCATTTTAATGGAGCGATGCTGCTCAGATTTTGGCAGGCTGTGCAGAGATGTGCATGCTGGTCATTTACACGTGATGCACTGTTGCTGTTCGACCGAGCACGAGGACTATACATATACATACATATATATATAGTATATATAACTGCACTAACTTAAGTTTAATTTAAAATACTAAAATTACTGAAACTGAAATGAAAATGAATTAAAGCCAAAATAAATATGATTAAATATTATTGTATTATAAAAAAACTGAAATTACAATGCAACCAATAAAAGCTCATTAAAAATATTAATAAATACTATAATAGTATATACATTTTAAAATAACACTACTCATAATCGATTGTTTAGTGCAAAAATGCACATGTAAATAAACGGTAAATACATTGAAATGAAGTGATGGATATCAGTCAGTGATGCATCTTACAAATGACAAAAAAGTACTAAAATGAACATTTTCTTGAGATTTATTATACATTTAAAGATCTCGCTTTCATATACAATGTATTTTCCGAAACCTAGTGATGCATAATTTCTCATTGTCTGTTGTTTTAATCCTGTCTCCTCCCTCACAGAAGTCTGTCTGTGTTGTTATATTTTCATGAATACATTATTCAGGATCTTTTTAAGTGGTTTTCCTCGTGGGGATCATTCGTTTTTGTCTGATGACTCACTCGTTCGACCCAGTTTCGCTCCTATTTGGGTCTTGTGATTGCCCTCTCACCTCTGTCTCTAGCCGGTCTGCGTCCCAAATAAGCAGCTGTTGTTTCTCACCGTTTCCCACCAGTGCTGTCTGCCGACTGCAGCGCAGGAAGTGACATCACCATGTCTCCGGAGGAGCGGACACACATGCGGCACTCCAGCGTCCGTGAACAGGACCGTCACACCGAAGGAACCTGCTTCCTGTTGGCCGCCAGCGACTACACCTGCACAGCGGACGCGGCCATTCGCAAAACAGGTACCTGATCGACCAATCACAGCCCTCCGTTCTTCACTTCGGCATACACGTCCAATCTAAAGCCATTTCATCCCTTATCATTGAATATCTGCAAATCCATTCATCCACTTACATCAACGTTCACTCCTGGATGGAAATGAAGGACTTTAACTGTTCAGAAGAGACTCTGAGGTTTATGTTGGTTTCTAGCTGTCGTCATCGTTACTGTGTTTTCAAGGCAGTGATGAAAATGAGATTTTTTACATAAATTACTACCTTGATGTATAATTACTTTACAATTTAAATTTTAAATATATTTTGTATTACAATCATGAAATTTTATTTTTTATTTTATTTTTTTTACAAATTTCTGCTATGATACATAATTATTTCACAATTTAAATTTTAAATGTATATTACAATAATGAGAATTTTTTTTACATAAATTACAACCATAATGCATAATTACTTTACCGTTTAAATTGTAAATATATATTGTTTTACAGTAATTTGATTTTTTTTTTACATAAATTACTACCATAATTCATAATTTTCACAATTTACATTTTAAATATATATTGTATTACAGTAATTAAATGTAGATTTTTTTTATTACATTACTACTGTGATGCGTAATTAAAATGTAAACGTTAAATATATATTTTATTATAGTAATTAAATGTAGATTTTTTACATAAATTACTACTGTGATGCATAATTACTTTACAATTTATATGCATAATTATTTCACAATTTAAATATATATTACAGTAATGAAAACGAGATAAATTACTACCATAATACATTTTTTAATTTAAATTTTAAATATGTACTTGTTACATTGATGAGAATTTGATTTTTTTTTACATAAATTACTACATGATGCATAATTCTAATAAAAAATGTAAATATATATTGTATTACAGTAATTAAAATTAGATTTTTTTACATGAATTACTACCATGATG